TTGAACAGTTTGATATTGCCCTACATCTTGAATGCCTTGTTTCTTTTGTTCATTCTTTTTTCTATTTGTGTTTCAGTTTGGCTAATTTCTATTTGGTTTCAAGTTCACTGACTTTTATGCAGCCGTGTCACGTTTACTGATGAGCTTGTCAGAAGAATTCTTCATCTCTATTATCATGTTCTTTACCTCTAGCATTTCCATTTGACTCTTATAGTTTCCATCTCTGTTGAAATTCAACATCTGATGATACAGGGTGTCCTTTTCCATTAAAACCTTTAGCATAGCTATTTTACACTCCTTGTTTGATAAATACTACATTGTGGTCATCTATGGGTGTGACTCTGTTGACTGCTTTCTCTCTTGGCAGTAGGTTTTTTCCCTTGCTTTTTGGTATGTCTTATAATTTTTTATTGAATGCCAAAAGTAAGGCATTCAATAAAGATGAATAGTATTTACTCCTGGAGATGGGCCTGACTCTTCTGCTAGGTTGTTAGTGTGAAGGTTAAGCTGGTTTATTCAGGGGTTGACCTGGATTTGGAATTTGTTGTTGCTGTGGTTACCATGAGTACATCACAGGCTTTAAACATGTCTGGCATTACCATGTGCTTAGAATTGGGTTTGGGTTGCTGGAAGGTTTTCTTACTGTTTCTGCTCCAACCTCAGCTTTTGGTCTTTTCTATGTACCTTTGCCTCAGAGGGGGTCTGTCTCTTGACCTCCCCCCAGTAGAAGGCTGCTATCAGCTTGGTGGTAGGGGATAGGGTAGGTTTCTCTATTGTCCTTGTCCAGCCTCAATCTTGGGCACGCCCTGTGTCCTGGGGTATCAGGGTGGGGTTCTCTCCTGTACCCCTCCAAGTAGCAGACAAATTCAACCTTGTAAATCTAACAGTCTTATGCGGGAGTTTACTGCCCCGTCCCCCAAGGTTGGAGACTTCTAATGGTCTAGGACCTCTAGTAGTCTAGGACTGTTTTTTGTTCTTTTCACAGGGTTATAGAGTTTTATTCCCTACTTTTCCCCTAGCCATCATGGGTCTTCATCTCTGTCTGGGAGGGTGGGGGTAACAAGATTTTCTCCCCTTCTCCCAGTGATTTAAGGCTTTGTTTCCAAAGAGGAAAAGAATCCTGACCATGCTTTGTGGCTTTTCCACAGTGGTGGCCTCTTCCCTCACCCAAGGAGCCCTGGAACTTCTGTCACTGTGGAGTTTGGGGCCCAGAACAGTGGTGTATGAATGCATTCTGGTTCACTGACATGGAAGCTCTCCAAACCTCATCCTTTTGGGTTTTTATGGAGGCTCCATTATGTAGACATAATTGATTAACTCATTGGCCATTAGTCATTGATTCAGTCTGCAGCCCCTCTTCCCTCCCTGGAAATCAGGGATTGGGACTGAAAGTTCCAACTCTGTTCTCATGGTTGGTTCCCTTGGCAGCCAGTCCCCCCATCTTTAGGGGTTTCCCAAAGTCACCTCATTAACACAGACTTACTTGTGGCTGAACAGGGCTTATTATGAATAACAAGGCACATTTCACCTTTATGGTTCTGGATCAGTTTCAGGAACTAAGGACAAAAGACCAAATATTATAAAAAAGATGCTCCCATTGCTCTATTGCTTAGGAAAGTCTAAGGGTTTGGGGAACATGGACAAAGACCAAAACATATGTTTATTATAAATCGGAATATTACAGATATATAGTGGGGTTTTTTTAAGTTATATGTCGTATTAGTTTGCTAGGGCTGCCCTAACATATACCACAGTCTGGGTGGCTTAAACAATAGACATTTATATTCTGTAGGCTGGAAGTCTGAAGATCAAGGCGTTGACAGGGTTGTTTCTCCTGAGACCTCTCCTTGGCTTGCAGATGCTTTCTTCCAGTGTCTTCACATGACCTGAGGAAGTGCATGTCTGTGTTCTAATTCATCTTCTTATAAGGACACCAGTCATATTGGATCAGGGATCACCTTAATTACTCCATTTAACTTAATTACCTCTTTTAAGACTGTCTTCAAATATACTCATATCTTGAGGTACTGGGGGTTAGTTTTTTTTTTTTTTTTTTTTTTGCGGTATGTGGGCCTCTCACTGCCGTGGCCTCTCCCATTGCGGAGCACAGGCTCCGGACGAGCAGGCTCAGCGGCCATGGCTCACGGGCCCAGCCGCTCCACGGCACGTGGGATCTTCCCAGACCGGGGCACGAACCCGTATCCCCTGCATCGGCAGGCGGACTCCCAACCACTGCGCCACCAGGGAAGCCCTGGGGGTTAGTTTTTTTTTTTTTTTTTGCGGTATGTGGGCCTCTCACTGCCGTGGCCTCTCCCATTGCGGAGCACAGGCTCCGGACGAGCAGGCTCAGCGGCCATGGCTCACGGGCCCAGCCGCTCCACGGCACGTGGGATCTTCCCAGACCGGGGCACGAACCCGTATCCCCTGCATCGGCAGGCGGACTCCCAACCACTGCGCCACCAGGGAAGCCCTGGGGGTTAGTTTTTTAACACATTCATTCGTGAGCAGACACAATTCAGCCCATAATGCAAAGAATTGGGGAAAAAAATGGAAATGTAAAGATCATCTAGGACAGTACTGTCCAGCAGAACTTTCTGTGATGATGAAAAGTTCGGTATCTTTGCTGTCCAGTATGGTAGCCACTAGTCATGTGTGGCTGTTGAGCATATGAAATGTGCCCAAAGGGACTGAGAAGCTGAATTTTTTACTTTAATTCTGAGCAATTTAAATGTAAATGGTCACATGCAGCTAGTGGCTAACATTTGGACAATACACAAATAATGACTGAAATAATTGTGATGTAGGCTGAGTTCTCAAATTCTTAATGGACTTTGCTACATACAGATTGTAAGATAAAACCTAGAGAAATAAAAAATAAAGCACTCTCATTTTTGTTCTTTTTCCTTTTATAAAGACGGTAATCTTACTTTATAATTGTGAAATTTTCAATAAATGTGTTTTAGAAATATTCAGAATCATTTTTTCTGCTCTTTATTTTTTTTTTTTTTTTTTTTGCGGTACGTGGGCCTCTCACTGCCGTGGCCTCTCCCGTCGCGGAGCACAGGCTCCGGACGAGCAGGCTCAGCAGCCATGGCTCACGGGTCCAGCCGCTTCGTGGCATGTGGGATCCTCCCGGACCGGGGCACGAACCCGCGTCCCCTGCATCGGCAGGCGGACTCTCAACCACTGCGCCACCAGGGAAGCCCTGCTCTTTAATTTTTAAGAGGTTTGATATTTGCATGTATCAAGTGTTTAAATTAGTTCAGTAAGATTTTTGTTGTCAGATTGTAGAGTCCATTTAAATAAAACTAACATCTGTAGCAGAAAAATTGGTAGATGGTTTAAAAATCTGTAATTCAGTTAGGGCAGGTGAATCAGTGCATGGTTTACTCAGAAACTCTGAACCTGGAAAATCATTCCACAAAAGAAGAAATGGAAAGAGCTTTATTTTTAAGGATAGAAATGGATTGTTAAATTAATAGCTTAACTTATTGTTTGATTTTTGTCCTTTCATGGTGGTTGATGAAGTTTTTTCTGTAAACTTTAGAAAATTTTTTAACTTTTCATTTAAAACTGATTTTAGACTTACAGAAAAATTGCAAAAACTGTACAGGGAATCCTCATATACCCTCATCCAGCTTGTCTTCTTGTTAACATCTTACATAACCATAATATAATTATCAAAATCAGGAAATTAACATTGATATAATGCTACTAACTAAACTACAGATCTCAGTTTTCACCAGTGTCCCTTTTCTGTTCTAGGAACCCATCCAGGATCCCACATTACATTTAATTATTTCTTCTTAGTCTCCTCCATTCTGTTTCTCAACTTACCTTTTTTTGACACTTTTGAATTGTGCCAATCAGTTATTTTGTAGAATATATATGATGTTTTTTCAAAATTGGAATGATGGCTATGCATTTTTGGGAAGAATGCCACAGAAATGATCTTGTTATGCTGATATGTTTTCTTCCTGGTGATGAGCTCTAGAAATCTTGATGATTGAAATGATGCTTTCTTTTATACAGTATATATTAAGATTGCTATAAAATATCAATCCACCAAAACATTTGCTCTGTGATGCAAATGAATTTTTAAAACCTAAAATGCTGATTAAAGAAAGCTATTATCATCACTAGTTAATGGGATGAAGTTAGTAGAATTTCAGTAATAGGAATAAACAGTTCAATAATGAGAAAGAGAAACCATCTTTTTCTTTCAAATGAGGTAATTCTTTCTTCATTGGAAAGTTAAGAAGGAATTATCAAGAGAGGGGTCTTCTCACCTAATGGAATAGTCTTTGTAATAGAAAATTATCTTGGTTGAGATACTTAACTCTGGGTAACTTATCAAGTAGAACATTAAATGAGGAAAAAGGTGATTGCTTTAGTTTTGTTCTATAAGTGACACCAGAATTCTATCAGAAGTTAAGTGTTTAGAACCAGTTTCTAGGTCTAGCCTATCATATGACCTGAATTCAATTTATTACAGCAAATTTTGTATTTGGGGCATTTAAAAGTTCTGAATAAGATGACGTAAATCAACAATTTCAAAAGAAATACTGTATTACATGTTCTAGACCTTATTAACATTGAAGCATCCTCATATGTTTTATATGAAGGAATGAAATTGTACTTCAGGCTTTGACGCTCTTAAAAAATAAAGTACGTTGTTAGGTTTTGTTTATAAATATTTTTCAAGATATAATGTTTATTCCTCAAAAGAGAATGGGTAGAATCTCTTCTGTAGATACTTGTATCTGTCATAAAGAAGGGAACTCTTCCATATTAAGCCTCCTACTTTGGTAGCTTTTATATTTCTTTACTTGGTAGGTTTTATTCACTAGGAACATTTCAGTGAAATATTTGTGTTTTTATTCTTTTGGGGTTGTTTTTGAAACATTCATGGATTATAAACCAAATAATAGAAGTGAGTACTGCTGTCTCTTCAATGTAACAATATTCAGCATAATGGGTAGAATTTTCTTTTATTTTAGTTCAGCAATCAGCAAACATTGGGAGGCTGAACTGGCTACCCTCAAAGGAAATAATGCCAAACTCACTGCAGCCCTGTTGGAATCCACTGCCAATGTGAAACAATGGAAACAGCAACTTGCTGCATATCAAGAGGAAGCAGAACGTCTGCACAAACGGGTAAGTTCAGGGCTGCTATGGGTAAGGATTTATGGCTAACAGATTTTCTTGATCAGAGGAAATTTACATGTAGATTCAGCACAGGAACATCTTATGGAGATTTTTGTTGGTTATCAAAACATATATATGGTTTGTATTATATGTTTATTGGTTAAGCAAAATATTTTCTGCAGTTTTGGAGTCCAAACACCTGATTTCAAATTCCTGTTGTGCCACTTATTAGCTGTCTGACCTTTGGTAAGTTGTTCCCCACTTTCTACTCAGTATTCTCATCTATAAAATAGGAATAATAACATAGACTCTAATTCCTGTGAAAATTGAGATACTGAATTGACATGTAATTCCAGAGTTAATGATAATGCTTTTATTATTTTATTGTTATTTCTTAAAGAAACAACAGTAAATTTGAAAAATACAGGTAGAAAATTCTTTATAAAAGTTGGTAACAATACAAATATGGGGCAGTAAAAGAAAAATCAGACATCGCAATACCATTAATATCAGAAGACTAAACAATTACTTAATAAAGAATTATTTTATTCAAAGCATATGCATTCACCCAGTGGGAAGCAGATGCCACTAGTTTCTGTTTTTCAAACAGCTGCCAAAGAAGTGAACCCCATAGACAAGAGGAAATGGACTTAGAGCACAGTTTGAGGAGTGTACTTAGTGGACCAGGATGACCGGGGAAGTAAGGTAGAAGTTGAGTAGAGACAGGAGGGAGAGTAAGAACCTTGAGTAAACACCGTTCTATCCTAAGTATAAAAGTCAACTCATGAGGGGGAAAGAGGGAAGTTGTTATTTAATGAATATAGTGTTTCCATTTTGCAAGATGAAAAGCTCTGGAGATCTGTTTCACAACAATGTGGATATACGTAACGCTACTGAACTGTACATTTAAAAATGGTTGAGATGATAAACTTTTACTGTGTTTTTTTTTTTTTTTTTCTTGCGTTATGCGGGCCTCTCACTGTTGCGGCCTCTCCCATTTGCGGAGCACAGGCTCCGGACGCGCAGGCCCAGCGGCCATGGCCCACGGGCCCAGCCGCTCCGCGGCATGTGGGATC